GGAGGGCTGCTGCAACGCTGTTGGGAGGCAGGTACGTTAACAGCAAGCCCACTTGACCCTTGACGTCCAACTTCACCAGCAAGGACTCGTAAATCCATAAATTCATAAATCCTTATACACTGACAAATATAAATAATGCTGACCTTCTTAAGATACTTAAATAAAGTTTCTCTAATGTGGGTGCTGATAATTAACAATCTGAACTGGTTTCTCCATACATCATCCTTAGTGAAGCGTGCCATTTCCTGCATCAGAAGAGGAGAGCACATCTTTCATCTTCTAACATGGCCACTTTTTACATAGGCACGATTGAGATCGTTTTAACAAACTGCAACACTGTTTGGTTTGGTGGCAGCAGTGCTTCAGATAGAAAGTCCATCCAGAGAGTGGTAAGGACAGCTGAGACGATTATAGGAAGCTCGCTTCCTGTCATTCAAGATACTGCTTATAAGCGCTATGTGCTTAGAACTCAAAGCATCGTTAGAGACCCCAGACGCCCACTTCATGTTCTGTTTTTGTTGCTCCCCTCTAGGAGGAGGTTTCAAAGTATTTCTAGCAGGACTTCCAGATTCTGTAACAGCTTTGTTCCCTAAGCTATCCATCTGGTAAACTTGCAAGATTCGTTTCTCTCGCCATGTCCATATATACATGTGTTGTTTCTTCGTGTCATAAAATATATGTGGGTGCATGCATAAATGTGTATTTATTTATTTATCTGTATATTTACTGAATTATTTATTTATCTTGTCATATTTATGCTTATATTAGATGTGGAGACCCTTTGAGAGCTGTTTGCAATGTAATTTCATTTTAAAGTATGCCGATTAGAGTACATTCAAAGTGACAGTAAAGTTATTCTAAGAGTCAGTTTCAGAAAGTTTAATTTATAGAACTCCAGTTCAACCACTTAGGATGAGGTTGATGCAATTCTCCCAAGGTTTCATCTTGCTACACATGTTTATGAATAAAAGCATTTAATATGTATGTAATCTTCAGTTCTTCAATCAGATTTGGTCTTTGGTGGCATTCAGGGTGGCTTAACTTTTGTGTATGTGTTTGTGCACGCACACACACATTCACACACACACACATGCTTGACCCAATAACTTTCTGTTTTCCTTTGATTCATTCTACTTTCACATTTTCTTTTTAGATGCTTTATTCTGATATCAATCGAAGTATAGTCTTCATTCCTTTTTATTCGTCTACATTCTTTTGAATGTATTCATACTTTACTAGAGCTGGTTCCTCTCCTACTCTTCAGAAAATTCTAGAGATGTTACTATAACTTTTCCATTTGATCAGCTGAAGTTAAAATTCCTGAAGGCTGTATCCATGATGATGATTCTTAGATAGCATTTGATTGTGAATGCAAAAACAATTGGAATTGTAACACTTTGCTTTTTTGAGCACAATATGTTTTATTTTTGAATATGAATATGAATTATTTTTTAAAAACTTTTTGTGACATTTGCACAACAAGTAGCTTCTATTCCTTTACTGGGAAATAAGCTCTATTTGGATTTAGTAGGTATTAAAATGGAATATACTTAACTAGGTTAAAAGTGTAACTTTGAGACTGGAATTTTGATTTTATGCTATTAAAACATGCTATTTGTGTTAATTATATAGAGGGAGCAATTAAATAAACAATAAACATTGGCCTTTAGAAAATCAAAGTTTGAAAATAACTTGAACTAAATTACAATAGTCTCTGGTAATTAAATTATCAGGTCTTACAAAGTTCTATGCTAGCTCCTATTATCTCGAAATTGCATAGAACTCTACCAACTGATACAAGATTTAGATAAATGTTTGTGGTCTGAGATTCTCAAGCTAATACTAAATGGCAACTATAATGAAAACAGTTTGCTGTCCTCCAAAGGTTCCACTAACATTTGCAGGCCATTTGTGCTAAAATGGAAGTTTGGAGCAAAAACTGGGGACTTAAAAAGAAAGAAAAAAAGAAAGTCCAGTTGCCTCCTGAAAAAGCATCTTTGGGACAACCATAACCTGGATGATTGAGAATCTCTACAGACATCTAGCTTTACAATTTGGGATTGTATGAATGCTGTGGGATTAGGAATGGATTGCCTGGGGAACAAATTTCAGACTATAGGTAACCCTGATAACACAGATAAACCTCCAACTGCTTCAATGACCCTCTAAAAGGATGCAGATTACCAGCTGTCTGCAAGGAATATAAAACCTTCCATTCCCCACCATCCTGTCAGAGCTGAAGAAGCTTCTTGGATGAGAAGCAAAACATGTTCAAAAGAAAAAAGCAGAAAGTCCAGTTGCTTCCTGAAAAAGCACCTTTGGGACAACCATGACCTGGATGACTGAGACTCTCTACAGACTTTTGGAGCAAAAACCATCAATTATATTGGCATCATGGCAATTTGATTACAATCTAGATCAGGGGTAGTCAACCTTTTTATACCTACCACCCACTTTTATATCTCTGTTAGTAGTAAAGTTTTCTAAGCGCCCACCGGTTCCACAGTACTGGTGATTTATAAAGTAGGGAAGTACCTTTACTTCAGAAAATTTATAAAGCAGAGTTACAGCAAATCCCTACCGCCCACCGTGAAAGCTGAAACGCCCAGTAGTGGGCAGTAGGGACCAGGTTGACTACACTGATCTAGATGATTTAATGAGTGATTAGAAGTAATGGTAGAGAATCATAGACATGACTTTGAAAGAGGAGTGTGATGGTTAACTAAACAAAATTTAAGTCTAGGAAAGAGAATATTAATATAGTTTAAACTTAAACTGCTAGACCTTGATTTTCTTTGATACAAGAAAAGAGGAAAGGAAAAACACCGCCAGGCTTTCCAGATTTCGATTCTATGGCTTATATCTATAAAGTATTTCTTGTGAAGTCTGTTTCCTGACTTGACCTAAAGAGCTGACATCAGTCTTGAAAATCTAACTCTTTCATTTTGCTTTCCAAATTTTCCTGCCCTTAAATTATGTTTTAGAATTATCACATTACTTTTTTAAGGTCATCTCTATGATTCTCCACAATAATAAAAGGAGCATGAGCAGAGACACTGTGTTGTGTTTTTTTGTTCCAGGAAATCAGTTTTCAACCTTTATAAACTTATGATGTTGTTCATCTAATCATTGGAGATAAGATGGCTTTATTAATAGATAATATCTTGTACTGTCTTCATCTAGTTCACCAACAGCAGCAGTTTCTAAGCAGTTTCTATACAAGGAGGTCTTGGTTACAATGCAGTTATTATTCACCAGTATTCTTTTTGTTATATTATCACATAAAGTTGCTCTTGAATGACTCTGTTCAAGTTCATTAGCATGTTTACCATACAAATATCTTAAAATATTTCATACAAAAGAGAAGACCTTTTCCATGTGTTATCTGACTCTAGAATATTGTATTTAAGGAAATTCCATTAATACCAGTACTATGAGTTTTTCACAATATTGCACAATAATTTTGTTTGCCCAACAATTTTAAATCAGATTTATTGTTCTTCTATATACAAGTGTACTATGGACATGTTGGTTATTATCTTATTATGTGTGAATAGGCTGTATTATTTCAGTCATATTATACTTTTATTGTTCATCACCATAGAGTTCATTAAGAATAAGGGTAGAGTCAAAGTAAAATAAATAAAACTATAAATGATTTCAGAGTTGTGTCTCTGCAAAAATACATTAGAAGTAGATTTTCCCACTGTAATAACAACTCCGCTCATTGAAATTGCATTAAATCCTACAATTTTATTAAAAATGGTTGCTTATTATTTTAGACATTATTTTATTTATCTTCCCTGCTATTAGTACTTTATTTGCCAGTTGTTAAATAGTCCTTTAATACAATAAAAACTACTTATCTGAATTGTATATAAAATATTTCTGTATACCTATTTTTTAAAAATAAAATAAGTTTTAATTTTCTATTTATATTCCTTAATACACACAGACCTGATGTGTCTGCTCTTAGCATAGTTTCTTGTTGGCTCTCCACATATCCTTGTCTGCATGTAGATATCCAAACAAAACTCAGTTTTTCAATTATGACCAGAGAGTAATGTATTTGATCGGAAATAGTTTCATAGAAAGGGAAGGGGTGGCAAAAGGAAAAATCTAAAACAACATTCAGAAGAATTCTAGGGAGGACTAGGGTTAGATTGGAACTGATGACTCCTGGAAACAGAAATGATTTTGTATTAGTTGCTGAACATGGATGGTTATGTTCACTGGCATCAAAAAGGCAGCTATTGATCGTAAAATGCATTAGGCAGTGTTTGCACCATTGAAAGCCCATTAGTTTATGAATCGTTTGCAGTCCACAAAGCATTTGAGAGGGTGATCTAGGGAGAAGAAAATTTCAATGCAACTTTAAGTCTGCTCATTGCAGAAGGCCTTCAGTGGGGTGGAAATGTGGTGGAAGAAATAAGGTTTCACTTATCCAAGTATTGGCAGCTAGACTGAGATCAGCTGCCAATTCATCTGATGAACTAAAGAAGAAGGAAGCCTTACCTCTCAGGTAATCCTTGAGTTGTGGTTGTGTTGCTGAGCACCTGGAACGCAATGATATGATCATGGGGTGCGGGAGGGGACAAAAATCAGAACACTGGATTTGGGTCAGAAGTCCACTTTTTCAGATAGGTTGTAACTTTGAACAGTTACTAAACAACCAGTCATAAATCGAGAACTACCTATACTGTAACAGCTATAAGAGTTTTTGTCTGCCCAGTGCAGGAAGCATCATACAAATGGCTGTGCAGTTTTTTCTTAAAAGCCTTCATTGAAGGAGTGTCCTCAGCTTTGGGAGGAAAGCTGATTAATAGCTCTCATAATCAGGAAATTCCTCCTCCTTCGTTCAACTTTGGATATCTTGGTGAAAAGGTTTATACCTGCTGTTTCTTGTCTTACCCTCCAGTACTAGAGAAAATACATCTATTCCATATTCCTTGAAACATCCCTTCATTTATTGCAAAATGATTATAATGTCTCACCTATTCTTATTCTTATTAGGAAGGAAGGGAGAATCTGTTCAGATGGTGACAAAGTTGTTATAAACTTTGAATCGTTCTTGCATAGTTAAACTGAAAATAAAATTACTTCCACTGTGTATTTTAGCAATAATTTCAATTAAAAAGAAGTAAAAGGGGAAATTTCTCCTATCTTTTTTAATCCAATCCTTATACCTTTAAATAAATCCCATATATATATATTCTATATATACTCAAATAATTATACACACACACACACTTAAAACTCTCATTTCATACTTTGTAACCTTCAATTTGATGAAATCATGCACCATAGAGCAACTATTTTTGAAACGATGTACCTCAAATGGGCTAACTTAAAAAATGTGTCCAAGATCCAGGACACATGATTCCTGCAGGATTGAAATTTGGCAAAGGTGTAGTTGTAGCTATTTTATTGATGGTGGCAAGAACCAGGAGGTGAGTAACCACTGGTTGCTTTGGAACCAAGACTGAAATTTGAAATCTATTAACAGTGGTGGCTGATGAGGAGGAACTCAGATGCCTGCTAGCAAGATAGGGCAGGCTGGAAGATGCCAGCAGGCAACTAGTGAGCCCTGTTCCTCTCTGGCCCTTGGGACATGCCAAAATGGGAGTATGGGGCAGTTTTCCTCATTCACTGCATCTCCATTTGTTCTCTCTAGCCACAACACAGTGGCAGAAATTTCCAAGAGTCATTTAACGAAGAAGTGGAGGGAGAAGGAGGATGAAGTGGAGGTGCCAACAGTGCTCTGAAGATCATGAGGGGAGGGAAATGGCACAAGCCCATAACATATGTGAAAAAAGGAAGAAAATAAAGTGACTGGGATACCTGCCAGTGAGGGGAGCGGCTAGTTGGAGGGAAATTTTGATCTGTACTATTTCTTTCACAAATAAACCCACAATGAATTTGGATGTAGGTTATTAATAGCAGTAGGAGTAATTTTAGGCAAAAGGGGCCTTGGCAAAGTAAATGTACTTTCTGTATACATTTTTTAAAAAAAAAACATTGTATGCATATGCATACACACACATGTGGGTACAATTATGTTTCAAAACTAAAACTCCTTCATTAGTGAATGAATCCCCAATCCCAAACCAAAGTAGGAGTATTTTGACAGATTTAGAAAATGTCCAGATAAAAGCAGAACATTTCTGAAGCATTCCAAGTCTAATTTTAGCTCTTTATTAGTGGATTCAGAATTTAGAAGGACACCAAGATACAAATGCTGTCTGCAAAAGTATATATTCCTCTTTTCCCAGCAGTTCCACACCTCTTATACTTCAGAGTAAGGCGATCGTCAGGGACAGAACTGTATTTTCATGATATTTAAAAGGTATACATTTAAAAAAATTGCAAATGGCTACAAAGATGAGGGCAGATTTAAGATGAGAAAATTAAAAACTGAAAGAAATTGAAAGGCTCATGTCTTCTTTTCCTTCCTAGTACTGTAAAATGGAAATGGGTTTTTATATTATATAGGACTGCAAAAATATTCATTGTCCTGGTTCTGGATTTTTTAGGATTGTAGTATGTATATTCTGGAAGGGAGTTACATCAACTGTAAAATATGTGATGTGTGATTTGCATACCATTCCTCTGCTAACAGTTTATAACAGCTATGCCTTGTGTTCTGTTTTGTGGTTTCAGGAGCAGAAGGCACAGTGTTCCCCAAATCTATAGAAACTCCTAATGTCAGGGCAGACCCCTTCAAGGAACTAAGGTAAACTCTGACATTTAGTTCTAATGTAAATGCAAAGGTACCTTGCTTGAATTGTGCATTCTGGCTGGTGATATTTCAAATCTTGAAGTAATTAAGGAACATGCAGTTGCATAGATGTCACTGAATAGCAGAAAACAGTTATACTTCAAGTAAATCTCAAATTTTTAAAGAGCATTGGTTCATGGAATTAAAACTCTTATATTTGTGACTGGAATTTTCTTTGGGTGGGGAAGCTAAAAAGGTCCCTTTGGTCAGTAATGATTGAGTATGGCCTCCGGGTATCACAGAATGTCAGCAAGGAGAAAAGTGGTACAGTGGTCAAATTACTTTCTATACAGATAAAATAACTTGGAAGTGGTATTCATCCGTGACAGCTGTCACTAACCTGATTTATGTGTTACTGGAAAAACAGATTCTGTATAAAAGAAGAATAGGCAGGACACAATCCACAAGCCATTGCATTTCTTTTTATCCAATTTTGCTTGCTTTCAAACTCTCAATGCAGCAGCTATTATGACAGCATGATTTTTTCCCCTTTTTGGGTTTTTCCCACTTTTCAAGGTACATAATGAAGTGGCTCTCAGCTATGATAAAGATTCCTGCTGAAGGCCCTGGCAATCATCTACCCAGCACTTTGTATAGCAAACAGTGCTTTGAAATACAGAAGCTGAATTTATTCCCAGCAGCTGAAGCAGCTGAGTTCCAACTATAGTAAATGACTGATCTGAATTAATTCATGCCAGTCATTTGTCTCATCTTCCTTCCCCAAGCAGTATTTTTTTAAAAAAATAGGATGAATGTCTCTGAATGAAATAGATGAATAAAAGGTCATAAAAAGCAAGCATTGTTGATATAGGCACACAATTATATTAAAGTGGTAGCTAGATGGTGGCCTAGTGATGAAGACCTCGCATCCCACTCGGATGGTTGGGAGTTCAATCCTAGGTAGTGGCAAATGTTTCTTTCTCCTACGGTGCAAAGAAAAATTATTTCTTGCAAACCTCTTGTGTGATGTCAGGAAGGGCAACTGGCCAGTAAACGCTCAGCTCCATCCAGTTCATCCAACACTACTCCAAATTAAGGGATTATGGGGTCATAAAAGGGGAGTTTTAACTAGGCCAGTGCTTCTCAACCATAGCAACTTGAAGATGTGTGGATTTCAACTCCCAAATCCACAGGTCTTCAAGTTGCCAAAGACTGAGGTAGACTAAACAGTGTCCATAATAAGAGGTGCCGCAGTGGCGAAGATGGAGGTGGAGCCGAGGTGGCGCAGTGGTTAAATGCAGCACTGCAGGCTACTTCAGCTGACTGCAGTTCTGCAGTTCGGCTGTTCAAATCTCACCGGCTCAGGGTTGACTCAGCCTTCCATCCTTCCGAGGTGGGTAAAATGAGGACCCGGATTGTTGTTGGGGGCAATATGCTGACTCTGTAAACCGCTTAGAGAGGGCTGAAAGCCCTATGAAGTGGTATATAAGTCTAACTGCTATATAAGTCTAACTGCTATAATGCACAGATATTCATTATTAAATCACTCCTTATATGGAGATGTTTCATTAAACAAAGAAACTTACAGTATGACCTGGTGATATGGAAACCCTCTCCATCAGTCTTCTCCAACCTGATGCCTCCAACATACCGTATATTGCACCAATTCCCGGAAACCCAACTGGAGATGAACCATACAATACATTTAAAACTTCTTTACAAGGAATTGTGAATTACCTAAAGGCTGGCCATTTTCAAGCTTGATATAAACTTCTCAGACCAATGGCATTATGTGCTTTTCTTCAGAAAAAATCATGTGTGCGCCATCATGTTTCACTGAACACTAATTCTCTCTTTGCCTTGTACTCTTGTACCTTCACTGGATCAATGCTTGAAGCTCTTGTAATTCTTTGATTTGTATTGTTTGAGTCCTGAAATGCACATATATCGATATTTTCGGTTTCTTTCATCTTCTCCATCTTTGTTGCTTTTATTGATGCCTTGTGAATCATGCAGAAGAATGAGTTCCAGGTGATTACCTCGCCATCACTCACCACAGAAATTCTATAATCCCTGGATCATTGTTTTTAAAAAAAATTCCAGACACGTTACTATTCTTTCTTGGGAAGACTGGCCTCTTAGCTATCATCAGAGATGCTGAAGGCAGCGGGAGAATTAAAATAAATGTGAAGTATTATTTGTAATAAACATTTAGAGTGAGTGTCATGGTTATCATTTAACATAAAGGAAAAATAGCAGGTTTTCTGCAGCTACCAAGTTTTTTTGACAAGAATAACCATTGTCCTAGCTTAGTTTATGCATTTCTTACTCCAACAAAATTGCTGCACAGCATATGTTCATTGCTAGGCTATTGGGGGGGGGGGGGGGGTCATGGTGGGATTCAAAATATTTTACTACTGGTTCTGTGGGTATGGCTTGGTGGGAGTGGCTTGGTGGGGGTGTTTTTGGGGGGGGGGGGAGAATAAAAAGATTGTGACTAATTTGTCCCAGTCAAGAAAGGAATTGGAATAAAGGGATCACAAAGATTTCTAGCACCATCCCATCAACAGAATGGTTGCCAGTATATACTGAAAGGCAGCATGTGTGCAACGAAGCACACATTCCAATGAAGTTATTCACTCCAATGAAGCTGGTGTCATCATAATGGCTATATATTATCTCCAATATCAAAGGCAGTATGCCTCTCAATAGCAGCTGCTATGGAATATGAGGAGACGAATAATATGGAGATATTTGTGCTTACCATCTGTTAGTGCAAGTATGTATAGATTCAGTTCAACAACTTCTGAGATCTGTGCTGAATTAAAGAAGAAACTTAGAGATGGAAAGTTATTCACCGAGCCCCCTTTATACATTGATTGTATCTAGTATGGTTACATGCTTATTATTCAGTTCCCATTATTAGCCCTTTTAAAAAATACAGTCATATTATTTGACGTATATGAGCTAATCAGATTATTAAAAAAAAAAAAGAAAACCAAAATCTTTTTAGTTCCTTTGTTATTATACCAGGAGCTGCTAATTTATATACTACCGGTAGTCCTTGACTTACAACCACAACTGAGCCCAAAATTTCAATTGCTAAGCAAAGCAGTTGAATTTTGTTACATTTTACAACCTTTTTTTGCCACAGTTGTTAAGCGAATTACTGCATTTGTTAAGTGAATCTGTCTTCCCCCATTGACTTTGCTTGTCGGAAGTTGGCTGGGAAGGTTACAAATAGTAACTACGTAATCCCGGGACAGTGCAACTGTCATAGGGGAGATGGGCAACTTAGAATTAATTACCAATGTAAATAAATAAATAAATACATTCCAGTTGTCAAGCACCTGAATGTTGATCATGTGACTGTCAGGATGCTACAACAGTTGTAAGTGTAGAAAACATCATTTTTTTCATAACTGTTGTACCTTCAAATGATCACTAAACAAATGGTGAAGAATTATCTCTACTTGGCGTACATTCCCAACTATTTTTATTTTTTAAAAACCTCTTCCTTAGCCCTAAGTACTATATTTTCAGTGCTTTCTGTTCAGTCACATAAGTCAGAGCAATAGTTATTATATTTCAAGATGACATGAATAAGTGGGGTCTTTTTTCATGGCTATTCGAAAAGATCAGAAATTTGTTTCACAACTGCTGTGAACAGTAAAAGAATGCATGCTGAAGGCTGACAGTGAATGCATCTAAAGTGCATCCTGCTTCTTAGCAGGAGAGAGAAGCATAAGATAAAGGCAAGAAGAACAAAAATCATTTGATCCTAAGAGAGCTTTAAGCTAATAATTTCAGGTAGAAGGGCCACTGGCAAAGCTGAGATTTATTCACGAATAAAACCTATCGCTAGAAAGGAAATGGCTACAGCAGTTTTAAATCTATACAGCTAAAAGGGGATTATTAAAAAGACATCTCTTCTTTAACGAAGGATTGTCACCTACAATAAATGTTGCAAACCATCTCTGGCCTTTCTGCACTTTGTGACATTAGATTGTGGGTTTTATGAGATACTTTTTTTTAAATAGGCTTATCAATGATAGATGTTAAAGGCTCTAATATAACTTTGCTGTGCTGGTGATTAATACTGTGTGTGTGTGTGTTCGTAGATTTTCACAGGTGTAGGTATGCTGGTCCTGTTGTATTCGGGTCTTTTCCCGTGTAAGATTTATATTGTTTTGGCAACGTTTCGGCAATGTCTCACTCACCATCTTCAGGCTGGTGTTTTCCGAAAATATCAGCCTGAAGATGCGAGTGAGACCTCGCCAAAGCATTGCCAAGACAATATCAATCTTACACACCCGAATACAAGAAGACCAGCATGTGTGTGTGTTTGTGTGTGTGTGTGCATATATGTATATATGTATGTATGTATGTGTATGTATGCATGCATGTATGTATGTATGTATGCATGTATGTATTGTGTCACAACTCCTGGTATGCCCAAATATGGGAGGAAGCATAATGCTTCCTTTCTCTGTCTATCGGCTCATCGCAAGAGACCATCCAGACAGAAAGCCATTATTTTTACTGTTGCCTTTGTTACATTTGTGTTGATAAATAAATTTATTGTGTTGATAAATTTATTTATCAACACATACATATGTATGTATATATGCATATATGTATATATGTGTATACACACACACACACACACATACATACATGCATACATACATACTTTCTGGGCAACAATGCTACGAACATGTTTTTAGTCAAGTAAGTAAATGAATGCATTCTCTCCTGTCAGAGAGCCCAAAGCAAGTTAATATAACAAACCTTCTATTCCTGTCACAGTAACTGTTTGAAAAGTCTCTTTGGAATGTCTTTGCATCAGCCATGTAACTACTTGGTAAAAGTAGAGATTCAAGTCAAAGCTTAATAAGCTTTCATGAAATTAAGTGTCCTGCCAATTACCTCTTTACCACAACTGCAACATTTTATGCTCTTCTATGCTTCTATGATATTCAGAGAAAGACAAATAGGAAGAAGGGTGGTCCTTG